ATGGACTCTGAGAAACAAACTGAGGGTTCTAGAGGGGAGGGGGTTGGGGGGATGGGTTAGCCTGGGGATGGGTATTGGGGGGGATGCGTATTGAATGGAGCACTGGGTGTTGTGCTTGGGCAATGAATCATGGAACACTGTATCAGGGACTGATGATGTGATGTATGGTGATTGACATAACATGGTAAAGTAAAATTAAAAGCAAACAAGCAAACAAAACTCCCCCAAAAAACCAGCAGGGTGAAAATACCACCTTACTTCTAGGTGAAGTCATACATGGATACTGATTTTTGTCTTAGGTGAGAAGAGAGTAAGGAACATGGGAGCCCTGGAGGAGGTGAGAGCTCAGGTGGCTGGGTTCAGATGAGAAATGAGTCTGGTGGCCCCTGGGCTTGCAGGAGGAGAGAAGGGGACAGACTGTAGTGACAGCAGTGTGGCTCTGCTTGAGGGAAAGAGGTGTGGTCCAGCTCCATCTCTGGGGTCCTCATGGTTTAACAGGGCAAGTATGCCACCGAGGAAACTCTTACAATGAATTATTACCTTTAAAATAGCCAGAGGGGAGGGCAGCCTGGGTGGCTCAGTCAGTTAAGCCTCTGACTTCGGCTCAGGTCATAATCTCAGGGTCCTGGGATCGAGTCCCGCATACAGTTCCCGCTCAGCGGGGAGTCTGCTTCTCCCTCTCCCTTTGCCCCTCCCCCCGCTCTTCCTCTCTCTCTCTCTCAAATAAATAAATAAAATCTTAAAAAAAAAATAGGCAGAGAGATGTTTGCTGCAGTTCAGTTTATGGTAGCAGACAACTAAAAGCAATGTAAATATCTAAAGCTAGAGGGGGCTTGGTTAAATAAATCATCCTATATCCATCCCCTGAGAGAATACTATTCAATCCTCAAAACTAATATTGTTAGAATCTATGTGGATGAGTATTAATTGACAAGGACAGAAATGCCCTTTATATATGTTGTGTGTAAAGAGGAAATAAAACAGCGGGTACAGTGCAATCTCACTTTCGTGAAATGAAAGCAAGTGCCCGTTAAAAGATCCTGAAGGATGCGCATCAAGGTATTAACAGTGGTTATCTCTAGGTGGTATTTGGGGGGTTTTAAAGTTTTCTTATTTCTGCTCATCTGTGTTTTCTGATTTTCCACAGTGAATATGTTCTGCTTTTGTAATGAGGAAAAACGACATTTATTTTTAAAGTGTGGTGACAGTTAGATGGACAGAGATCAAAGACTGTGTTAATAGGGAGGAAAAAAAGACTGTGTTAATAGGACTCAGCTAATTTGGAAAAGCATCCATTGGGAGGCCCCAGACTCTCCATGCCAGGAGAAGGAGGGTGAGAGGGGTTTTGGGGGAAGGGCAGGTGGGGGCAGGGCAGGAAACCGGGGATGGCTCAGGCACAGGGAGATGGCAGAGGTGGGGGCCTCATGCCTGATATTCATCTTGTTGGCTCCTTGACTGATGGACCATGGTCATTTGCCACTCTACCCACACGTCCAGATGGCCCTCCAGAATAAACCGCAAGCACGGATGAAGCTCTGGATGGGACTTTGTCCTTTGATGTTGCTTGCGGGCACTCCAAAAGGCCATGCTATGAAATTGGTGAATGCAGGTGGAGAAGCCGATTATTAGCAGTTTTGGCCAAATGGTGGTGCTACAAGACAGAAGATCAGAGCACAGCCTAGCAGTCCCAGGTTAGGCTAGAATAGTCAGCTGCGACTGGAAGGCCACCAAGGGGGCAGAGGAAGGTTAAGAGGCAGCTTCCACAGGGTCATCTTAAGTCACCTAGTCACCGGTCTACAATGCCCTCAGCTGCCATTCAATAAAATTGATCATTATGATAATGAAGTGCCAGGAACGAAACAGAATAACTCAATCAGGTGTGGATCTTGGAACTAAACGCTCCAAGGGACAGCTCAAGGCACCTCTCCAAGCTCCTCTGTCAGCCGTCCCCCGCTCCCACGGAACACCCCCTTGCTCTGAGCCTCACCCACCCACCATGCCTTTTCCTTCCCTCCCTGTGTCATCCCTTCCTTCCCCATATTCACTGAGCACTCTCTGGATACCAGAGCATTTAGCCAGATCTTGGGCAGGTAAGGGAAAGATTCCTGAGGATGAGGTGGGAAGGAGCTAGATGAGGGGCAATGTATGTGCATGGAGTGGATGTGTCAAGTGTGACTGGCAGAGAGGACCATGCTCCCAGGTCCTTGGGCTGGAGAAATGGGGCTGGTTGGAAGAACCAAGTAAAGCCCTAGTGTGGCTGAAGGCTGGTCAACAAGGGGGAGACTGGCAAAGATGCGACTGGAGAGAGGCGGGGGACTGACTGTGTAGTTTGGACATTGCGAGACCACTGGAGGATTCTAAGCAGGCGAGGGACATGATGAGATTGATTTTCTTTTTTTTAAAGATTTTATTTATTTATTTGACAGAGAGAGATAGCGAGAGCAGGAACACAAGCGGGGGGAGGGGGAGAGGGAGAAGCAGGCTTCCTGCTGAGCAGGGAGCCCAGTGTGGGACTCGATCCCAGGACCCTGGGATCATGACCTGAGCCGAAGGCAGACGCTTAACGACTGAGCCACCCAGGCACCTGATGAGATTGATTTTTAAAGAAGACCTCACAGGATGGTGTGGGAGAAAGTCTCATGTGGCCAAGAGAAGACCTTCTAACAGGGAGGTGCTAACAGGACAGAGGAATGATGACTGCAGCCTGTGCATGGTGTGTAGATGGGGAGAAGGGGAGAAGTTCTATATTTTGGGAGTAGACTTAGTAATTTATTAGATGCAGGAGGGGTGGGGTAAGAGAGAACAAGCGGTCAAATATGATTCCCTGGTTTCTGGCATGAACAAGCAGATGGATGGTGTGTCATTTACTAAGATGAGCAGTAATTAAGGAGTTGGTGGGCGGCTAAGAGCAGTCATTTCAGTTTTCCATTTTGAATGGGTTAAATCTGAGATGCCGAAGAGACATCCAAAACAAGCATTAAGTAGAAAGTTCCGCAGACTGTTTAGGCGCTCAGAAGAAAGATCTGGACTGGACATCTAAAATTTGGACGCCGTTGCTATATAGAAGGTGCTATGGAAGCCGTGGCAGTGGATGAGATTACTCAAGGGAATAGTACATAGCAGCAGGAGAAGAGGGTCTGGGACCTGGCCCTGAGAAACACCCTGGCCCAGGGAGCCCGCAGGGGGACTCGATCCCAGGACCCTGGCATCATAACCTGAGCCGAAGACAGATGCTTCACTGACTGAGCCACCCAGGCGCCCCAGGGGGTCTGTTTGAAGGTGGGCAACACTAGAACATGTTGGAATGCTAATGGGAAGGATCTAGCAGAGTGAGAGAGAAAGCTGATGCAGCAGAGAGAAGGTCAGTTGAGGTGTGCGGGAAGGGATGGGGTCCAGACTTCTGCTCCTGCTTTTCCCTCTGCCTACAATCGGTGCCTTCCCTGGCTTATCACAAGCTCACCTCGTATGATCCTCCAGAACCGGCTTGGATGTCACTGCTTCTGGGACCTTTCTCTAGTCCTACCAGACAACTTTGTCTCCCTGCCAGGCACGGCATGTGTTATGGCTGGGTGATAGCTCCTATCATCTATTATTGAGGACACGGATTCCCACAGGAGTGTCTGTCGGCCAGCACTGTGTCTGGCACGTAGATAGCAGGTCCTCAGACGTGATTCTGAACGGACAGTTGAATGGATGAATGCGTGCAGCGTCAGCACCCTGGACATCCTGGTGGCGAGGGGGCTGGGGGTGATGGCAGGACAACTGAGAGAACTGGCTATTTCAGCCGCTAGTTCTGATTTTTTTTTTCCCTTGCAGGACTGGAGTCCTGACAGTTCCCAGACTCTGCATTATCACCCAAGGAATCTAGCTTCTAGGATCAGCCCAGTGTAGAAGAAGAAACAGAAATGGAGACAGAGCCCTGCTCCCACCAGTCCTTCCACACAGCAAGCCGGGAGGTCAGAGGTGAGGGGAGCGGTGGGATGGGGGTGGGGGGCAGGGGAGGCACCTGAATTCCTCTCTCCCAGTACACAGGGATCCTCAGGTATTTTTTAATTAAGCTGAGGAGAAGCAACAGGGACCCTCTGGAATGTAAACACGAGATAAGACCAGGCTCCTCTCCTCTCCAGGAAGCTTCCATTTTCTTTCTTCTAGGATGAATACCACATTCTTTCCCAGGAGCTAGTTTCGCTCCCCCACCCCCCTAGTTACTGCAGGTCATCCTCTGCGGGGTGGGGGGAAGGAGTCTGCCTCCCAAGTTCTTTCCACACCCCCTACCCAGCCTTTGTCTCCCTATTTGGGTCTTTTTGTATCCCTGGTGGCTGCGTAGTCTCAGGCAGGGCCTGTGCTTCTGGACCTGGAGGGGGACCTCCGATTTTAATCAATATATGGATATCTCTCGGGTTTGTGCTGTGGCTTTTTGACTCCTGCTATGGGCCTCTCTTCCCTGTCTCTTCCGGGACGGTAGAACCGGCGCCATCACTGGGCCAATCCGACATCCATTCGATAATTAATTAATACCAGCCAGCACATGGCACTGGGCAGCCAAAGTACTGGAAGAACAGCCTGGGTGGGCGGTGCTAATAAGAGGTGCCCAGAGGAGGAGAGAGAGCGCCTGCAGCCACAGTTCCGGGGAAGGCTTCAGGGAGGAGGTGTGGTTGCCTGGCGTGCAGGAGAGAGAGGCCGGCGCAGGAGGCAGCATCGGAAGCATGGCTTCGGATCAGCTCAGCTGGAGCAGAGGGTTTAGAGAAGGAGGAGACTGGAGAGTTAAAGATCGGGACAACTATGGGGCTGGTGGGAGAGATGGAATGCAGGGATAAGGAGGCTGGGTTTTATACCTGAAACAATGGGAAGCCATTAAAGGTGTTTACCATTGGGGGAGGGATTGGTGATGAGGGGGCAGACGCAGATTTAAAGATAATTCTGGAAGCAACGTGGGGACTGTTGTTCAGGGCAGAGAGGCAAGGGTCCCATGCTCTCTTATCTCCCCCACAGATCCCCGCTCAGCTGGTGCTGTTGGCTCGGCCAGCCCAGGAGTCCCTGGAGCGAAGATCTGGAATCTGTGGGACTGAGGGAACCTCAGTGTGGGGACTCGCAGACATTGGGTCCACACTTGGCCAGGGGTTCTGTCCACAGTAAAGCTTGGACCTCAGAGCCTTTCCTGCCTTTCGGGTAGCACAGGACAGGATGAACTGTTCTGGGCCAGAGTGTCTGGCATCGCCCAGGGAAGGGTTCAGGTAACTGTATGCACCTGACCTCTCACCTCAGCCTCAAGAGCAAAGGGGATGGTTTGGAACCAGCTCACTGGGTCGCTGGGGACACTGCAGAGGCTCAGTCCATCTACAGAGGTGCCCCAGAGTATCCCCTCCCTCTCCTTGTGATCCCCAAACCCAGGCTTCACTGACCCCCACTTTTCCTACCCTCTCCTCCTCCCTCAGGGGTCAGGTCTTGGGAAGAGTCCACTGGAACGCCGAGCCGCACTGAGTCCTGGGGTCTCGGAGAATGTCTCAGGGACAGGGGGATGGAGGCAGTGACGTCTCCAGGATTGTTCCTGTAAGGGCATTGGCTGGACTCCTCGGCTTCTGTCTCTGGGAATCGGGGACTGTGCAGTTTAGAGCTGCTCTCACAGGAAGGGATTCATCCTTCTCTTTGTCCCAAGGCAGGCCGCTTGTCTTTCTTCATCTCCTGGTTCCCCTCCCCCCACCCCTACCTATCCATTTCTCCTTCAGGACAGGGCTGGAAAGATGGGGGATGCCAGACTCAGCTCTGAGCTTCGTGCAGGGGTGCTGTCCGCAGACCCTTCTGTCCTTGGGCAGGGGTGTAATTTGGCCCCTCTATGGCTCTGGAACCAGAGATGCCTCCATATATCTCTATCTCTCTATCTCTATCTCTATTTCTATAACTAGCATGCTTCCAAATGTCAAGGAAGAGGAGGTATTTTCATATCATTAAATCGATGTCCCCCCCTCCATGATCCCTAGGTCCTCTCCAAAAATGGCCCCTGCTTTACTTCTGGAAGGGGATTTCTCTGTGGATCCAGGCAAGTGACTCTCCAAGCCCTGACTTACGGTGCTCCCATCACCACTCCCTGCCCCCATCCTCTGCCCACCTACATTCCACTCATCCTTAGCTATCAGCAAGATGCCCACCACCTCCAGGAAGCCCCCCACCCCTTCCCCTGCATGCCCTCCTTCTCTGTATTTCTTGGTGCAGCTCTCCTTTCTGGTGACAAAACAGGGCAGACTCTGCTGGACCTTGGTCCCCTGTGGCTTCCTGTGGATGGGTTAGTCCGGTTTGCCTGGCCACACTTTACACTCCTCAAGGGCAGCAGCTGCATCTCCTCCTGGGTGGGGCGGGGATGGTGGGGAGAGAGGCTGGTACGATGGGTCAGAGGGAGGAGAAAGGTATGTGTGTTGTGTGTGTGTGTGAGAGAGAGAGACAGAGACAGAGATAGAGAGACAGAGAGAACAGGGGCAGAAATGCCCAACTGGAGAGGTGGTGAGGACACGGACTGTCCCCTAAACCCCTGCCAGCCCTTGTCACAACTAAGCCCCCACTGATTATATTCTGTTCTTTGGTGTATAATTTGCATTTTGTGTATTATGTGCATAGATGACTATAAGTTCCCTTCCCTTAATGGGCAATGTGCATCACATCCGGGTGCCCCAGAGGATGTTTCTTCTCTATATCCAGGGTCCGGGGTCCCCATGCCTCCTTGAGGACTGGGACTTGAGTTCCTGCCCCACTGTCTTCAGACCTGCCGCAAGCATGGAATTAGATGGCCCCATCTGGTAAGCCGGCAAGGGCTCTGCAAACACGGGGCCTCTCTTGAGGTTCAGCTTACAGAATCCCAGTAGCTGATACCCACCGAGTTCCTTCAGTGAGCTGCATGCCTTTCCTCCCCGCCCAGGGCTCTGAGGTGTGTTCATTTCAATGAAGACGAAACCCAGGTGACCTGTGTCTCAAGCTTTGGCTCCCAGGCCACAGGCATGCCTATGACCTGCTGTGTCCTTACAGCCTTGGGTCCTTACTGCACTGGTGTCCCTGTTGGTAAGTTGTCACTGCCTGAGCAGTTGAAATCCACCCCCCCCACCTTGTCTTCCTAGGACTCCTCCCCGCCATCAGCCCTAAGGAGCAGGCATGCAGGCTCAAAATCGTTTCCCTACCAGCTTCAAAGCCTGGACTTCTGCTGCTCGTGCCCAATTCCTGAACCGAAAACCCTTGTGTCCAGATGACTCTTTTTTTCTGATTTTCAGAGTTTAGAAAAGAAATGTAGTGCAGGTAAAGTATAAGGAAAACCACAGTGGGGTATGAGGTGGCCCCTGGAATTATGGACGCAGACACATCAACATTTATTTCTACAGCAAAACTTAGGAATAGTCACACTGAATTGGAGATGTAAAAACTATAAATAGCCCATGTCAGGTTTTACATGCAAGTGAGTTACAAAGAACTTTTGGTCTCCAGAGCTTCCGGAATTTGGAATTGTTGGGGTAGGAGTTGAACAATAAGATACTGCCTTTGAAGGGTGATTGTGTGACTTGGTGGGAGTGTGAGTAAGTTGGAAGACTTGCTGAGAAGGGCTGGATGGGATGACAGAAGCCTGGAAGTGGGGGCACATGACAGAGCTCCAGGGGACCCCAGGAAGGCTTTGATTAGACCAGGGTTGTGACCATCCAGATACCCTTTGCCCTGCCAACAGAAGGATTTGATAGGTCTGAGGAGCAGAGTGTGGCTGGGCCCGGCGCCAGATAGGGCTCAAGGCAACATCAAGGTGGGCAGCAGGCCTTTGAGACCTGGGCTGGGCAGAGCCATGTTCTGCAGGTAAGATGTGACTTCCTTATTTAGGCCTGGGGCCTTGGGGCAGCCCTGGGAGTGTTGCAATCCTGGAGAGTAGCTGCAGGGACAAGACCCTTTTGTCCTGAACTTTTGGCTCAGCTCGGTTCCCTGTGTGCCTATGTTACTCCTGCCAGCTCAAGGTTATCTCCCTGGTGATGTACTGCGTGAGGCCTGGCATTCGCCCACACATGCTCACTTGCTACTGCTACAGCCAAGAGCAGACTCAGATTTTCTGGGACCCTAGGAACATGTGTTTATTGAGTGCCTTCTATGTGCTAGGCGAGCAGTTGAGCCTCCGGGGCTACATTCTCCTTATTCTCTCATCTGGAATGCACGCCTCTCCCACGGCACAAATCCTAGCATCCCTGAGCTCTACTTCTGCCATGAGTCATGATCACCATCCTTTCTTAGAACGCCTAGCATTTACTGCCCTGCCATTCCTTGGCTCTGAATTCACCTCCTGAGCTTTCTCGTATCCTTGTCTTCCGTTTTGTTACTTGAATTTTTATTTGAATGCTTGGTGTTCTGAATCATTTAGGGATTAAGACCAAGGGTCTGCACCTAGGTCCAAGCTATCCCCAAAGTGGACACCTGCCCCTCCTTCCCTGAACACGTGTGGAATGCAGGAGTGACCCCAGGGGAGGACTATAAAAGCCCTTCAAAGAAGAGGGGGAAAATGGTGCCGTGGGCCCATAAACATTTGCACTAAGCATTCCTAAATGACAGCAAGATTTACAGTTTTAGCACTTTCCCATTACAGAGGCCATTTCAGTGACTGAAGGGGACCGTAATTTCTGTATCAGGGAAAACTGGAAGCAGCCACCCGCAATAGCCATTGCATTGGGTTCATTCCACATGCTTGTATATTCATTCAATAGCTTTTGTAGCCGATAAGATTTTCCTCTGGCTAGAATGATTTAGGCCTGCTGGAAAGCCCTTGGGGTTTCTTAAAGTTGGGGGGGTTGGTGGAGGGGGGCCACAGAAACGAGGAAGTTCAGCCATCCTCCCACTGTGTTCTGTTTCTTGGTACAAAGAAGAGCTACAGAGGGAGAAGGATGGCCGATGACAGCTTCAAATGTCCCTCGACTCACCTTTTTCCTCCTTCCCTTGGGTGTTCTGCCTGCGGAGTTCCATCCTGGTAGCTTATTTGTTCCTTTAGTTGTTCATTCAAAAGCTAATGAGAGGGGCGCCTGGGTGGCTCAGTCCGTTAAGCGGCTGCCTTCTGCTCGGGTCATGATCCCAGGGTCCTGGAATCGAGCCCCGCATCGGGCTCCCTGCTCAGCGGGGAGCCTGCTTCTCCCTCTCCCTCTGCCTGCCTCTCTGCGTACTTGTTCTCTCTCTCTCTCTGTCAAATAAATAAATAAAATCTTTAAAAAAAAAAAAAAGCTAATGAGAGCTGATCGCTAACTTCAGAAATTTTGCTTGCCAGAATTAAACCCCTAGTAGCTTGAAATTGACCACCGTGGGAGTATTTACATTATGGGAATGGGAAAATGCTATAGGTTGGGGCTACTTTTTTTTTTTTTTTGCCTCCCCCTGTCACCCCCTCCCCGCCATTTATCGGTGACTTAACCTATGTTAGAGCTGTGCTAAGTCCCAGGAGTACAAAGGTGAACAAAGCAGCCTAGTCTTTGCCCACGGGGAGCTTACAGTCGGAATGGCACCGTGCAATATGGTAATCTGTAGCCTTTAGCCACTAGTCTCTACTGTGGCTATTTACATTAATTGAAATTAAATATAATAAAAAATAATTTCCTCAGTCACACTAACCATATTTCAAGTGCTCAATAGCCCCATGTAGTTAGTAGCTACCATATTAGACAACACAGATATTTTCATTACTGCAGAAAGTTCCATCATTGGATGGTGCCTAGAGACAGGAGAAGGAGAAGAGGAATGGGTAGGGCTGATGGATCATATATACCCAGACCCAGACTAGACCTTCAAGATGAAAGAACCAAGTGCTCTGGTGTGGGGGTGGGGCGTGTCCCACAAGTTTCAGGAAATAGTATAGCAGTATTCTCCCTTACCTTACCACGTGGTATGCATGTTGATCTAGTTTATTCTACCCTATCCTATTCATTTTATTACAAATATGCTGGTTAATCAACTCTCCGTGTTCATACCCTGCAATTTGAAAAACACTGCTTTGACGTCAGTGGGGGTGGGGCAGGGTGATGGGGGCAGAGCAGAGTGATGCAGGTGGGGAGGGTGTCCTGGAAGAGACCGCGGGGGTGGTGGGGAGAAGAAGGAAAGGGAGAGTGTAAGTCTGGCAAAGGGAACTAACTTGGGGTGGGAGCCAGGGGCCACAAAGAGCTGGAATTCGCTCCTCAAACATGGGTTACTTTAAAGCTTCTGCCTTCCTGCCCTCTTTTGGCCTCCGCTGCCAGCCTTTTCATCTGGCCTTGAGTGTAAATCATTAGCTCTAGCAGTGGACACAAAGCGGGACTCAAACACAGGCATGTGTGGGAAGGGCCTGGGGGCAGCTCCTCGGTGTAAATGAATGGCTTCAGATCTCTCAAGGGGGTGAGTGATGGAGAAAGGTCAGCCAATTTGGCAGGTCAACCCTGCTGCCTGGGGTGGGAGGGGGTGGAGAACTCTGTGGGTTTTGAGCCCACGGCACTGCAATGCCTTCAAATCCCCAGTTTACTATAAATTACTCTGGCTGTAGCACCAGCCACTTCACCATGTTCTGATCAGGGCCTTCGGTAGAGACACCATCCCAAGACCCGAGGATCACTGAAATTCTAAGTCCTTGAGATGTTCCTAACTAGAGGACTGCTTCCCCAGCTCATCCCTGGGCAGGTGGGGTCGAGGCCAGCAGTGGAGCTCATCCTTACACAGTGCTCGGGACTCCCTCTGCCCAGGTTAGGAGAAGAGTACTCACTCACACATGACATCTTACGAAAGAGGGAGTTCTGTGTATCTCTAGTGGGCAGAGTTGGTCTAGAAGGTTAGGAGGCAGATTTCAGCCCAGTAGAAGGAGTGATAATGTTCTAATAATTAACATGCCCAAGGGGGCTGTGCTGTTTTAAAATCTTCACACAGAAAAAGTTGGGAAGGCCAGAAAGAGGATTTCTACTTTGAGAGGCCAAATTTGAATCGTTTATTCATTCATTCAACACCTGTTTATTGACCACCTATTATATGCACTGTGCTAGGTGCTGGGGTTACAACTGAAGATGAAGCAGACAGAAATCCATAACATCCTGGAGCTGACACGGGTGGGTAGGTGGGGGGAGTGGGAAGAAAAGCACAAGGTGATTTGGAAGGCCTCCTAATAATGTGAGGATTGTAGAATGTATGGAACTGGATGGAATTCCATGACTCACCTCCACCCACATTATTCTGGGTGATCTTCACAACCACCCTTCAAACAGTCAGAGCAGGCCAGGCCAGTGTCTCTCATCTAGTAAATGTGGGCTCAAGAAAGGAATGTCTTGGGGCACCTGGCAGGCTCAGTTGGTAGAGCATACAACTCTGGATTTCGGGGTAGTGA